TGACTCATGCCTTGTCTGCTGTGTATGATCTGTGTGATCGCAAGAGAAGTCATCTTCTGTTTCGTCCTGAGGTTTTTTTTTTTGGTAGCAGATCACAGAAACAGAGGTTCGTTTGAGTACAGACACTGCCTAAATCACCTCTCTGCAACTCCTCAAGATTGTTTTAAATTCTGGAAACAGCAAATGACTTTAGGCATCCAGAAGCTCTGCAATTAGAACATTTGAAATTATTGTGTAAAGTCCAGAATGGGAAAAAATAGCCAGTAGACTAAGGCGAGACAGTATGTTGATGGAGGCAGTTCAGAACCCTGAAACTCTTCTGTCTCAGTGATGTCCTGGCTGTGCACCAGCTACCCGCTGGAGTTTTCGAAGTAACCGACTCGCTTGGGGCAGCAGCTCTGTGTTTCCCTCCGGTAACTGTACCTTGTGGAGAAACAGGTGAGGGGCTTTTAGACCAGCATGATGATGCCAGGCCCAGGTACTGAACTGTGGAAGGTAGGCAGGAGGGGAATGACCTCACAGAGACATCTCTCATCCTCGCCGCCCTGTGTGTAGCTGTGTCATTAGCAATGCAGTCAGTGCAAGATCCCAGAGTACTGTTCCTCAAACTCACTGCCAAATGCCCCCCTGCCAGGCCTCTCTATTTCATGCAAAGAAACAAGTAACAGGTTTATTCCATGCTGAAGAAAAGAAGAAAGAGAACACAACGTTTCGGCCATGGAGCCTTCTTCAGGTGTGAAGTTCTTAAGAGAGTCACCTGAAGAAGGCTCCATGGCCGAAACGTTGTGTTCTCTTTCTTCTTTTTTTCAGCATGGAATAAGCCTGTTACTTGTTCCTTTGCAGCCTACGCATGCTGACGCAGCTCCCCACCTCTCTATTTCATTACTTCTGGACTGGCACCACTGTTCTCCAGCCTCTTAATCACCAATATCCACTCCCTGGAGGAAAAACGAAAATGAAATCTTATTGGCCGGCTGCTCTGAGCTGTTGCTAAGGGGGGAGTGGATAGAGGGTGTCGATGGGAAGAGTGCACGACGCTCACAGCAGATACAGTCTCCCTGGCCAATTTCTGGGCAGGACAGCGGTGATTTACATAGTCCGCTCACGCTTCATGGTGGGAGTGTCTTTTTCCTGCTGTTAATGCTTTAAGAGATTAGATACAGGTACGTTCATTTAAATAGCAGTGTTAATATCCTGAGAATATATTGGACCTGCAGCACGGCAACTGGTTCAATTTATACTTTATAAGACTGAATAGCGAATTTATATCCAACAACAGGCAAATACTTGCATCATTGCTATTCATGGAGATCACACCTCAAACGTTGTGTTGTTTAGACATTTCATTGCCAGCAACTACTGCACACTGTATTGTTGTGCATTTGATAAATAAACTTTGATTGGATTTGTTTTTATTTTTGATTTGAGAGATGCCGTCTGCAGATATTTTTTTAATTCTAGGAGGACAGCAGCAGAATTAACAAACTGTACCTTAAATAACAGCTCTCGGAGGAGTACCTGCTTGTTTTTGTTGTGGCCTAATGTTCCTGCATTTCTCAACCGCAAGATGATCTTGTTTTTGATAGTTCACAGTAACACTGTGTTCTTATGAGGGGCAGGTTTAGAAAGAACTCTTGCTCTTCCAGTAATTCTTGCAGTCTAGTAGCAAACCTTGGGAGTGTTCAATTCCCAGGATAAACAACAGCGGCAAACAGCATTCAGTTTTTTTGCTAAAGTCCCACAACATATTTCCTTCGTATTGATCAATAATTAAAATGCCTACACCTGTCTATCTCAAAGTTAGGCACAGTGTAACAGGTAGAACACAGGGGCTAGTCATTAAAAACCTTGACTGGTGCAACAGCAAAAAGTAATCTGAATATATTATGTACTACTAGTAAATCTGTTGGATATAATTTATGGTTTCATCATACTGGAAATGTAAATTTTCCACTGAAATTCACCTATTGACCATGAAATATTATCTGATTTAAAGGCCAGGCATATCAGTTCTACATTACTAAGTAGGGATTTACAACATGGTTATATTTTCTTAGATAATCTCTCCTCCTGTGAGGTGGTAGCCAAACGAAATAAAGCCCATCATAAATATAAAGACTATATTTCTTAAAAAATGAATTATATGAATTTATAAAAAGTGAATTAATATCTTCAGCAAACAACGGCTACCCCCCTCACTGTGTTTTAGGCAAATATTCCAATAGTAAACATTTAATACATTTCATATCTGTGAATGATCCCATGATATGATATAAAACCCGCATTATCCAGAAGAGAGGTGCAGCAATGAGCACAAGGTGGGGTACACCCTGGGCTGGACGCCAGTCCAGCACGGGACACACCCTCTCACACCCAGGCCAATCTTCCCAGCCTGTCTGTGGCCCTGCCCGGTGGTGGTTAGGATTCGGTGCTCCTGCCGCCGTGGCCTGGGATCGATTTCTGTTTAGGGAAGAGTGAGCCCAATTCTTCCGGAATGAACATATAGAGTTGAAGGGTCATTGCTGTGTGCAGAGAGCAAAACCCTTGTAGCAGCAGTGCGACCCTTGGATTGTGGGAGGAAACTGGAGCCTGAATCTGAGCATAGTGGGGAGCCAGGGAACAGGAGAGGAAAACCCCTGCGGACCTGAGAGGGGGGTGAACAGATGGGGTTCTCCACGGCGAGGAGAGGCGCAGGGCTTCCGTCAACTAACCATCCTGCCCTCAAGGGCTCCTGTGAGTGACCGGCCAGTCCGAGTCAGAGGCAGCCAGGAGACGGACGGACACAGCAGGGGGATCTGGTCCCTCAGCCAATGGCCTGGTGAAATGCAAACAGCGAACGTAAATGGTGAAGGTGTGGAGAAGCCAGAGAGGAGTTTTCACACCCATAGAGACCATTGACTAGAGGGAGATCCACACAGATTGCACCCCAGGAATTGAGCCAAGGGCACCAGTGCTGTGACACAGCAGAGCTTACCACTAATCCCAAATGACAAATCTGGCTCTTGTTGGGTTGCTTTTGGATAAAGGAATCCAACTTTATATATACATATTGCTTACACTTATATAGCGCTTTTCTGGACACTCCACTCAAAGCGCTTTACAGGTAATGGGGATCCCCTCCACCTCCACCAGTGTGCAGCCCCACCTGGATGATGCGACGGCAGCCATAGTGCGCCAGAACGCTCACCACACATCAGCTATCAGTGGGGAGGAGAGCAGAGTAATGATGCCAATTCATAGATGGGGATTATTAGGAGACCATGATTGATAAGGGCCAATGGGAAAATTTGACCAGGACGCCAGGGTTACACCCCTACTCTTTTCGAGAAACGCCCTGGGATTCTTTTAATGACCACAGAGAGTCAGGACCTCGGTTTTACGTCTCATCCGAAGGACGGTGCCTGTTTACAGTATAGTGTCCCCATCACTACACTGGGGCATTAGGACCCACATGGGCCGCAGGGTGAGCGCCCCCCGCTGGCCCCACTAACACCTCTTCCAGCAGCAACCTTAGTTTTTCCTAGGAGGTCTCCCATCCAGGTACTGACCAGGCTCACACCTGCTGGGCTTCAGTGGTTTGCCAGTTGTGAGTTGCAGGGTATGGCTGCTGGCCATAAAGGGTTTAGAAGGCTTTAGAAGACTTTAGCAAGCAGGAAGCAACCATCCAATACCGGGCTAGTAATTGGGATAGATAGGGGTGGTTAATGCTCTGTGTTAAATCTGCTGTGACTGTTAAATCAGTGTGCATACCATGCTGTTACAGTATATGTTGCCTGTATTTTCTGAAGGCATACTTAATGGAAACCTTCCTACAACTTTGGCTTTACTGCTGATAGGGAAAGACTATAATGAAAAGGTCAGTTATCCTTTGTGGGATAGATAGGAGACATCTGTGTTCACTTTGCTCCGGGCTTCAGTGGGCTCTTAACCAACA